AAAAAAATAGAGAATCTATAAATGATACATATTGCAAGTATAAAGTAAGAACCTAATGAATAATTGCGAATCTTGTTGCTTAAGAATATTTCCTTTTGCATTAGGCAGGGTCAATTCACCTTCATCACACCCCTATTCCAATAAAGTCTCTTAACAATATATAAATAAAGGAAGATGCTACGTTCTCGTTACCGAACCATTTCGTCAGAGTTCGTAACCATTAGACCAATTATCTCCAACGATTACATAATGATCTAACAGTTACAAATACCGACGGAATGATTACATAACAAGACCTTAGCATTTCACATAAATAAATAAATAACAACTCGGCCTTTGCAGCACTTATAAGGCGAGGTTTCATCGTTTTCATTGTTTGAAAGGGCACCAAGCACTTAAAAAAAAGCCTTCAAAGACTCGCAAGTACATATCTTCCTTTCTTTACAGTGAGTGAGGAAACCTATAGTCCACGTGAAAAAGGAGTCATTGGCCGGTTCATATTTCAAATTTCAACAACTTATCTACATGCCCATTGGCTGCAATGGCGCCATCTTAGGATATATAATGTGGTCCACATGTGATTTTCAAGGACCATTAGCCAGAACGAAAAGACGAAATTGCCCATCTCACCCCCTATCACAATGAAATATTTCAATCTAAACCTCCTATCGTTTTACATAAATTTGCTTACACTTGGTCTCTACACTAAACATGAGAAGATAGATGAGAAGATCGAAGTAAAATCAAGTTTAGATTCACATCTTGAATCGGGTTGATGAAATCGGTTTTGTAACCAAGGTTGAAAAACCTGGTCTCAGTTTCAGCTGGCAATACTGAAAATAAGGAGTGTTGTTGAACTTGAATCGCAACTGAATCTGACTATTATTGTCTTTCTTTTTCCCTTTTACATTGGTGTATGTATCTTATTTGACATTTAATATATGAAAAGCATAATCAGTCACACAGAGTTGTAATTTTACGAATTGCTTACATCTAACGACGTTTCTAGTCTCTACGCTAATGATGAGAAGATAGGACTAAAATCAAGTATAGAATCGGATTGATGACATCGATTTGTTTACAAGAATTGGGAACTTGATTTCGATTTCAACTATCAGATCGTGGAAATAAGTAGTGTGTTGTCGGATCGCAACTGAATCTGACCATTAATGTCTTTGTTTTTTCCTTCTTCATTCACATATGTATCTATTTTTATGATTAATGTATGAATAATATAATCAACAACATATATTATTTTTATAATTGAAAATTATTACAAAATTATGATTTTTTTTTTTCTTTTTCAACATTCGGACGACGTCCCTAGTCTTTACACTTGAGATGATTATATGAAAATAAAATCGATTTTTAATTTCGATCTTGAATCAGGCCAAAGATATCAGCTTTGGAACCGGATTTTGGGTATCAGTTTCAATTTTTGATTATGAGATTCTAAAAATAAAAAATGTTGTTGAATCAAAACTGAATACGACTACTTATGCTTTTGCTTTTATTTTGCTCGTTCGCAAGTTATATGATATGAATTTTTGATATAATTGATGATTAAGAATATATAATTGAATGAATTTTCAGTTAAGTGAGAGAAAAATGAATGACTGTTTACATAAAAAAAAAAAAAAAGAAAACTATTCTAAAGGAAATTTTTTTACTATTGGAAAATTTATTTCATTATAAAAAATAAAAAAATGTAATCGACCAATCCCGGTATTCCACCACCCACACAAATTAGAGAGTTCCAAAAATGAAAAGACCCAATAATTCAGGGGCTAGAAGTGCAAATAAGTGTCAACTACGATTCGGTTAGCTGTACACTGGAGTCACTTTTGGTGCTATCCTCCCGACAGTCGACACGTTGCACCTTCAGAAAAAGGACCACGTACTGACCGCACGCTCATGGCCCAGCGCGTGATATACAATCTCCCAGTGCAAAAGTCCCGCCAATCAAATGCAATCACGTATTCACGAAAAAATAAAAAAGGAAAAAGAGAAAGACCATTGTGGGACCCATCTCGTGCCCCACCGCAAATATCAAGCCCATTTACACCCAAATCTTTATGTTGTAATATTATTATATATATCACATGGACATGGTTCTCTTTGGCATCCAATAAAATTTATGTTTCATTTTAATTAATTATCTTGATATTAGAAAATAAGTAATTAGAATAGTAAGTAGAGTTGTGAAACTAGCAACTCGATAAATTCGAACTTTTAACGAGTCGAACTGACTTGAGTTACGTTAAATTAACAAGTCGATTAACGGGCTTAAGCTCGACTTATTAACGAGCCTTAATGAGTCTAATTATGTAAAAATTTAACAAAAATTACATAAAAAATCAAACCTGAACGAGTTGAGACGTCAGCTGAAAGAGATCGAGCTCGACTCGTTTTATCAAATGAGTCGAGCCCACGAGCTAGCCATTTTTTTTCTAACAATTTCAACAATTGTCCTATTGTTAACCATATCTAATAGTTAAACAATTATATTTTTTAACATATACGAGAACTTTCAAGTCGAAATGGCACCTGCAAAAACTACATAAACAAAAGTGTTTCATTTAGTTAATTTCATAATTCAAGTATATATTTCAATCATCATATGTTTAAGTTGCCTCGTACAAAAATTTATAGGGTTATGGGTCATAGGTCCACGGCCCAACCCGGCAACCCAGCAGGGGCCCAGCCCGTGCACACACCTTATATTATATACATGATGTCCTCTCAGCATCACACATTCAATGCCAAGTTTTCCTTTCTTCTCTCTCACCTCTTCTCACTCTCTGCTAATTGAAGGGAGAATTTATGCGGGACAATGGAGCTTACCAGTAACAGTAACAACAACAACAACAACAGCGCGATAATCGCGCCGTTTGTGATGAAAACGTACCAAATGGTAGACGACCCGACGACGAACGGGCTAATCGGTTGGGGAAAGGCCAACAACAGCTTCGTCGTCCTCGACCCGCTCGAGTTCTCTCACCGGATTTTGCCGGCTTACTTCAAGCACCACAATTTCTCCAGCTTCGTGCGACAGCTCAATACTTATGTGAGTACCTTTTTTTACTCTCTGAATTTTTGTGGGTTTTTGTGTGTTTATTGATCTGATCGAGAGATTGAATTTGATTCTTTGAATAATTGGATGGTTTTGAGTTTTTCCAGAGAAGTTCAATTTTGCCTATCAATTTTTTTCTGGGTTAATTTTCTCCCAAGTGATTTTCTTAATGCTACAGTGTCAGTGAGTCCTGTTTCCCTCTGTAGTAGATTTCACTTTTGGGAAATGTTACGGTCATATTACGGAACCATTCTGTCGGGGTTTGTAATCGTTAGATCACCATGTAACCGTCGGGATAGTTGATCTAACGACTACAAACCCCGATAGAATAGTTCCGTAACGGGACCGTTACTTTTTATGGGTTATTTAACTATTTAAGTACGAAAATTGATAGGAGGTAATTTTGGTGGAAAAATTTTTGGATTTTTTTTCTAATTATTTTGTGTGTAATGATAAAGCATCGATTATTACGTTTTAACTGTCTTTGAGCTGAGTCATGCTCTTCAATTTTGATTATGAGAAAAGCAAGACAAAAAGTAAAGGTTGCAAAAGTATTCTGTGAAAAAAAAATAATAATAATAATAATAAAAAAAAAAATAAAAATAAAAAATAAAAAATAGGGTCCTTTATAAGAAAAAGGTGGAGAGCTTGGACTGAATTAATTTCATTTCATCTTAAAATTGTTTTGCCTTTACTGAATGTAATTCTACCTTTTGTTCTTCTTTTTAAATAATATTGTGAAACAGAAGCTATAGGGAGATGATGAGAGTTCTAAATGAGACGAGTCGAGCTCGGACTCATAATTTTTGAGCTCGAGTTTGAACTTGTACTAAACCGAACTCGTTAACTAATCAAGCTGATAAATGAATTTGATCTCGTTTATCAAATTTAAAGAACCGAGCTAAGGTAAAAGTTCTGAAAATTTTGTAAAAACTTTTATTTCTGGAGTCTAAGGAGAGTTAAAATGAGTCAAAGACACCCAAGAGCGCTTGGATGAGATGGCTTGGGTCTCTTCCAGCTTAACTAGTGGTTTCGTGTTCGAGCTCTGGGAATGCAGCAGTGTTAAAACTCTTGAGGGAGAGCTTTGCGGCCCTTGTGGTCCTACCTGGCTCGATTCCGGATTAGTCGGTTCCCTTGTGGATCCGGAAACCGGAAGGTCCCTCCAAAAAAAATGAGTCAAAGACAAATTTTAGTTTGCTTGATAATTTGTGGCTAATTTACATTATCCATATTATAATTTTAATAATTGTATGGATAATGTGATATTTTGTTTTAAATATATTTATGTATATATATTTTCCGAAATAATAGACTTCTATATAAAAGAGAAAATAACACATAGGTACATGTAGTAACCGGTCAAAAGTCGAATCTAGTCATAGGACATCGGTCATCTACCTAAAACTTTGTGCCTATTCTTGAATTATTGTTTTATTTTAAGGGGTGACTGAGTATACATTATTTTAGACTTGATTGGATTTGTTGGATAACCATAGTTAATTTTGAAAAAATTGATTGAGTTATATTTGAGTGAGATTTTATTTTGTATTAAAATAATATTTAAAATATAATGTCTAAAGTTGATTTGCTGTAAAAGTGAGAGAAATGATTAGTGAATTGAAATCGATGTGATGTGTCACAATGCTTGATTAATATTATTTAATTATATTAATAATATTGATGATCTTGAGTTGAGTTAAATTTTAGTTCTAATTGTGGTAAAAAAATTATCTGGTCAAAAGTGGCGAGATAATTTATCCTTATTAATTGAATTAGAATTTCGAAAAAGTGTAATTTGTGGGTCTTGGTAACCATGTTTGTGGCCGCGCACACGGTTCATAATATCACACCATAATATATATAGAATATGTGATGAAATACGCCATGTAATAGAGTATGTTGATTTCCTCTTTGAACTTACTTATATTATTTGCAGTTGGAAATTTGTTACAATAATAGAGGCACATACTTATTATTTAATCTTCTAAATGATATTTAATTCCCAAGTTGTTGTTATAACACACGTTCGCCAAGATATTTGTGTGCACTGGCGAAATATGTTGCATTTTGTTAGCAAAATGTTGATCTAGTGGAGTATATTCGAAGATACTGTTGGCTATAATGTAGAAAAAAAGAGAGTTACGTACTAATAAATAATTTAAAATCACGCCTTCAAGATTACCTAAATACAAATTTTTGTATAAGACAGTCTTATGATTAAGCAAGTATGATCATACTTTTTGAATAAAAATGCACACTTATTTCTTGTAGGGATTCAAGAAAGTCGACCCGGATAGATGGGAGTTCGCTAATGAATGGTTCCTACGCGGCCAAACACACTTGCTCCACAACATCTCCCGGAAAAAACATTCGCCCACGAAACACCACGTCTCGTCCCACCTTGCCACCCACGAGGACGAGGAAGACGACGAGCTCCTAGCCGAGATTGTCAAGCTAAAGCAAGAACAAATGAGCCTCGAACAAGAGCTCGAGAGAATGAGCCGACGGTTGGAGGCCACTGAGAGGCGACCCCAACAAATGATGACTTTCTTGTGCAAGGTGGTCGAGGACCCCGAGATCCTTCCACAAATCATGCTCGAGAAGGAGAGAATGAAGAAGAGGTTGACCTCAGGTAGCATCGACCACAAGAAGAGGAGGCTCATGGGGTCTACTGACTCGTCGAGCTCGTCGACCAAGAGCGAGGATGATGGAGGGAAGTCGGCCCCGATCTCGCCCGCTGACGGTAGTAACTATCTCTATCAGTCGTCGGCTACAACAGCTGAGATATCGTCATTTGTGCCCGAGCAATGGGGGTGTGGGCTCCCCCACTCGAGTTTGTTTGTGGTGAGAGAGGACAATGTCGGTGGGTATGGTGACGTGGACGGCTCGTCGTGGTCGGGGCCGTTTGGTGGTGTGCCCACGGCAATCGAACCATCACTGAGTGTGGAGGATGGCAGCGGATTCGTTCAGACGAGTCCGCTGCCTCCGTATCCTTTCTCATTGTTGGGTGGTGGTTTTTAGTTTGTATTTATTGTATTCTATTAATGTCGTCTAATTTGGAACGTAGCTAGCTAGGTAAACAATAATAGCTATTCTTCAGTTGTTTTCTATGTGAATTTATGAAATACGGTGGTGGACTTGTTCGGTGTAATTTTTGTATTTGATTCATATGTTGTACATATTGGGTGGAGAGTATCAAGATACTTTGGGTAGATTCTATTTCATTTTTTTTTTTCACATAACTATAACGAGTCTATAATCATCAATTGCCGACATTCAACGTTGTGCTTTGGATAACATCAAGAAAATATCTATGCATTATATAAAAAGTTGTCACTAACTGCGAAAGGCAATATGATTTTTTCATGTCACAAAAGTTAATTTCACTTATGTTGCTTTCAAATCAATCACTACGGATTCACAAAATAGTCAAGAGGATCAAACCACAATTATGTTGTTTGTTTGTAGTTACTTAAGTTGACCTTTTTAATTAATTATTATTATTACAACAGCCATCCCTTTTCATAAGGTTAACATCCTTTAAGCAATGGACATGTTGCCCAATGGGCACAGCCAAAGGTGAGTATGTGAACTTTTGTGATGCTCCGGAGCCCCCACAAGGTTGCTGGGACCCACGTAAGCACATGGGACATCAGAAAATAATGTGAAAATAAAGTGTGTGGTTGTGGACGACTAATGTTACAAGTACAAGTGGGACCCACTAAAAATACAAAATTAAATGGACCCTACTCCATGTG